ATATCAGACAGGTCCTCATCTTAGTAACTTTATGAAACTACCACAGACAAGCAAAGGCTTTGTTCGTATACCGATGAAACTTAATTAACCTCTCACCAAGTCCTTATGATTCAACTGAACAACTTTCAACGAATGTATATATTGCTTAAGTTAGGTATACTACAAAGGAACGACTAGGATGCTCAAAGGCGACTCAGTGACAATGGCGTATTTCCTTGTAAAGACTGATAAAAGGGTAGTATTCATACTTATGTCTCCTACGCTGATATTATTCTGATTACCCCCAGTTACGTCTTATTGTAGTACTATTATAATATTCCATTAACATTCATTATATAATGATTTGTTTTGTATAACCAGTCGAGTTTAATAGCCATTACGCTTTGAAATTAATATTTACAGTGCAGTTAAATCAGCGGCTATTTTGGCATTCCTGGTTTATGATATAACCATTTTTAAAGTATACAAGAACAACTTTACAATATAATAATTAGTATATAAGAGTAACAAGAAGAGAACAAATCATACGAAAACATATCAAACATAATAGTAAAATTTCAAATTGAGACTACTACCCGATTGATAGCAGGTCAGATCAACCTTTACAAGGTCTGTGGGCGATAGATAGAATGAGTGGACTGTATTTGTTACATTAATGAAACAACATTAATGAAAAAAGCTGGTATTAAGCTGGTACTCCGTCAGGTACTATTAAGTATAGGTCTTGTCAGTAAATATTCAATCATCATGCGAAAAATACTAAAAATATAATCTCTCATGTAAGATGCTTAGTTCAAAAACTAAATCTAACTTGTCTTTAAAGAATCATAATATTTATAAGTGAAATGAATACTCCTGTCGTATCATATACCTAATTTGTTTAAATCCAGCAAATTTTACGTATACAAATTCAGAATAATGGTGTTACTTAAGTTAATCTAATTAATAGGCTTATAAAGTAAGGACCTTGAGGGTTAAAACCCCTATTTTATACAAATTGGAATTTCACAGGATTTTCTTTGTATAGCCTGCAAATGAGAATGTACTAGTCCGTTAATATGATGCTCTTAGAATATGAGGTCTTATTAACTGGATGGGTTATAGAAATTAAACCGTATTATGATTCATGCAAAGCCGACTTTTAACCCCCACATCAATGGTACCTTGTAATATAATGTCTGAACTCTGTGAGCGTTCTGTCATACAAATATGCATGAGTAATTAATCTTGCACTTATCTATAATTTAAAATTAGTAGTCAACTTTATTAAAAATCTAAAAATACTACATACTATCTATATTTAATAACGAGTAAGATACTAAACATTCACTCACATTCTTAATCCACTTTCATATCATATTATGTTATGTTATGTCACAGACTTACTCTTAATGTCTACTTTTCTAAAATAATTATTATTTTTGTTTGGGTGCGTAACATTATAAAATAATACACGTAATAGTGTTGCAAAAAGTTATCATATATATAATTATATTGAAAAATAACTACAAATTTTAACGTGTAGATAACGTGATTATCGTAAAATTTTGTGGAATCATACTAACTTAGTCACGGTTATAATTATTGTTCGTTTCTTATAGAATGAAAAAATATTATCCACACATATAACGATAATTCAATCTTTGAAAATATAATATTCGTAGCTATCAGAAATAATGTAATTATTCTACCAAAAATGCGTAGAACTAGAAACATAAAGTACAACATGCTATTAAATACAGTGGTTGATTCAAACAGATTTCCTGTCATGTTTCTTATGTATAATTATATAATATTAGTCGAGGATGTTAGCATGTAAAATCAGCATCCCTAACTTCACACGATTTTAATATATTTATATCTTCTACATATAAAATATACCAACAGTTATAATTTCTTTATTATTATCACTAGAAATAAAATGTATAAAATTACATCATCTTTATATTATTTTAATCATGAGTTGAAAATAAACTGTAATATTATCTACTCCTACAACCTACGCCTAATAAAGGTACTTACCCTATTAAGGAAGAGAGAAACGGTAAATACAGGTAATACGATCTCTTTAATAGAAAATGAAAAGCAAAATGAAATGTGTGAGTATTTAAGTAAATTATTTTTAATTTAGAAATTTATCCCAAGATATTTTTCTATTTACGTGTTTAATTTCAAACTGCCGTTTACATTTAATACGAAATAAACTTTAGCTTCATATTATTCATTCATTATTTGTCAAAGTCGGCTCCAGTACGTAATGTACAGATAAACAACAGACAGAGAACTTTTTTAAATAATAGAATGGCAAACAAACTGGTGACCCACCTGATAGAAGGTGTTAATCGTTACCTATATAGATAAAAATTAATACGGATATCATAAATACCTAGTACTACCATGGATTTTCATTCTTGAGTATTTAGTAGAGATAGACTGTTAAAATTCTGCGTGCGTCTGCGTGGGTACCTCAGTCTCACCTCTCTGTTTTTAGCCTGTTTTGTAAGCTGCGTTTCGGTTGTAATTTGTGATCGATTAGACAGTGAAATAACAGTAAAAGAGGTATGATATCTTAGCCCTCTTAAATGTCAACACGTTACGTGATATCCGTAGTGCTTCTCATATATACAGGTGACGGTTATCTCTTACCAATATGTGATACAACAACTTGACGAGATTGTATATGTTTACAATTTAAGAAAATACTAAGATATTACCCTGTTTCATTACCATATCTTCAAACTGGAAGAGTTTGCAAAGTAAGATACTGGCTGAATAGAGCAATGATGACAAATAACGTTTTTCTGGTAATATAACGTAAAAAATTGTCATAATATAATATTTAGAATATTTTCTAAAGATGTCTCAGACTCGCCTTTTAACTAGTTTTACTATAAGTATGTATAGATTATTTCGGCTCAGTTGGCTTTGAAAGCAAACTGTCCTTTCTATCAGATGGTCCTCTAAGCGTAATGTCTATTGAACCATAAGAACTACACACCACAGTGGCAAAACAACTAAGGGGCAAATCATCCTTAACATAAAAGAAATCCTTTCGTAAGATATATGTATGTCATGAAAGCAAATCTATTGCAAAAAGGGTTTGAAAAGAGTTGAATAATAGTTATGTTTATACACAAAAGTCACGTCTAATAATTGTGTTAAATTGTGTTTAAGTCAGTTACTTTTATTTACCTCGCGATTCCTCCAGCCATATATTATAATAATATTTTTTTATACGACTGCAACAGTCTCGTAGTATATGTTTTATGCAATCGATATATAAAAGGTATGACAGGTAAAGAGAAACCCATGATCGTGCGATTAACCACCATGTCCATCTGTTACCACGGTATAATACAGTATATAGTATGTACTGCACAAATAAGTGCAATTGAATTACGTAAAGATAGTTTCATATTTAATATAATTTAAACAATTTTTGTAATTTTTGTACAATAGTACAAATAATATTTATTTTCATTTTAAATATTCATTAAAAAATAGTAACTATAAACTTATTATATAAATATTCGCTTCATCTGTCTGTTCGTTTAGATCTTTTAAACTACACGATGGATTTTAAAGCCGTAAATGCAATAGATAAAGTGATTCACGAGGAAGATTCATTTATATATACTATAATACATACATATATACACCCATGCGAAGCCTGGGACTGGTAGCTAGTCATTCTATAAAATATAAATAACTTGTAGAAGCGGTAAATCGGCACCTCTTAAGCGGATTTAAGCCTCTATTGCATTCCACTTTAATCTTAGTGAACTTAAATTTGCCAAAGATGATTTATTTTTAAAAATTTACTCTATTTGATTTAATGGTTCTTTTTCTATATTTATTTAAAATATACGACTGCTAGATATCTAAATTGAGATCTGGAGTTATTACATCCAATATGTACGAAATATGTAAAAACATTATTATAAAATATTTATGACGATATGATTATAACGAAATGTATTTTTTTGTAAATTTGAAAAAATAATACAAGACCTCAATCTGTCTTCATTGAAATATGATGGATCGATGAAAGGCTTACTCTGTCACGAAGGATTACTGTGTATAATGTCACTGATTAATGTTGCCATCAGAGGGCGCTACTACCGCCATGATCAATTAACACAACATAAGGCAATTTTAACTTAATTACAACTCTGGATGCCCCGCTGTTATGTGGAGTACTGTCTACTCTATGTTGGGGTCCCTAAAGTTTCTGTAAGCGATATTCCTATCTTCAAAGGTAAATTAGGAAACCCACTGAGGGTCCGTGGTAATGTGGTCCAAAGAGTTATTATTACAACCTTGTAGAATAGGCGATCAGACCCTTTACGCTATAATCGTGATAAATAATAATAGAGATAAAATATTTGTTTTATAATATCTTTATTATTATTTTTATAAATATTTCCTGTTCTACAAGGTTGTAATAATAAATCTTCGAACCATATTACTTTCAGTTGATTTTTTAAAACGCTAAGTAGGTATGTATTTGAGCTAAAATTACATAATTGTAAAATGTAATACCTGCCGGTCTAATCTAGAAAATAATTACTATCCGACACCATTAAAATTGGCCATTTCATACGTTTAAACTCTTAAATTGTATACTACCAACGAGTAAATTCAATATATCCCTGTCAGTGAAAGAACTAACTGATATAATTTATTCGGTTTAGTCTTCATTAAATGAATGATGATATTAATTTCACTTTCCCACTGTACTCTTTTTATTCTTTTTACCACAATAAGAAAACATTCTTATTATTATTATTAAAACTGTCTAGACACGATAGTAAAATCAGGGACAATATCGAGGCAGTTGTAGTGGTGATAAAATTGACTCGACAGAAACACTATGTAAAATCAGTCTCGACAAGAGGCGATCAAGGAAACGATCCAAGATATTATTTACCAAAGCTCCAATATAGCCCCAATTTTATTGACGTATGTAAATGTGTTTAAGAAAAAAATAAAACACTCACCTATTGTTGTAAGCGCCAACGTACACCAATAATAACTTTGTAGGTATTGTTTCACCACGTCCGCCGTCTCTGTGTCATGATACACCCAGTTTTTACTACCGAACCCATTGTTCTTATATATTATATGGTACAAGCACCCGTTCCAATGAAATATCACTAATAAATAATGAATTAAACTGGTAGATCTAAATAAATTTGGATAGTTCGTGTGTCGCTCGGTACGGTCCATGAATGCCCAGAAACGATATATTTTAACGAGGCGAAACGATCGGAGTATTGAGTTGAAGCCAATAGACAGGTAGAGGAAGTCCAAAGGCAAGAGACAGAGGCAGTCTATGTAAAACGTTGTAGAGTTCATGTAGTGCGCTCTGAGTTTCGCCGCGTCTGTTTGTAGCACGCCGTCCTCTAAGTAGCCCGTTCGAAAGTGAAACAATATGTCCGCCAAGTACAGGAAGTCCGAGAAGTAATCCAAACAGAACCACACTATTAGCGTCTCCCCTGTAACAAAGCAAATAAAGCATATTATAAAAAACGTAAGCATGTAATAAGTATCCATTCTATTATTAAAGAAAGTTAATCTTGTCTGTTTATTTTTCAAGACTAAATGGGAGACCGAATGTAAAAAACATGGCTTGATAAACAGTTTATATCACAGGGTCAGACAGACTATGTTTTATCTAAAAAACAGATGAAATTACGGTATTATTTCTACCCATTTCCCGTTTATTTTTTAAGATAAAAGATAAGGCTAACTATTATATTAAACAAATAAATTCATCAGAGTTCGATCTTCAAATTAAATAATACATATAATACATATATAATATATACTTTCTCACTTACAATAATTGTAAATACAAAAATATGGAGTAATAACAAGTTCCCGGCATATATGTCTGTATACATATATGTCTTTATAAATTTTTACATAATATAACTTCAGCGAAATGGCAAATTTCATAAGCACTATGAAAAGAGATCTTGAATGGGATCTACAAAAGAAAATTACTTTCATTCAACGACACTCAGAGAATGCCATCCGTGCTATTTTCTTCTACGTATTTTATTTTTTTATCTTAAAAGCTTTTGATGGCAAATTTTCTGAAATGTGTAAATTCTTGAGGTAAAAAATAATATTGACATTTAAACATTAAATTATTCATTAACTTAACATAAATTGTAACAAATTGATAGATTCTCAAAATAAATTAGCTAAGTAGCTTAAACGAAATATTTTCGTTGATTCTTCAAAATATTGATTTATTGAAAAAGCATTTTCCATATTATACGCTATTTTATAATTAAAAACTATCATAGACAATAATAAATGTCTTCCATTGATTCAAACCTATTCAGTTAACTGAACATTACGATCGATTTCCAAACAAAGCAGAAACTTGACAGTCGCCAAACTTGATAGTCCTGAAACTTATCGCGAATAAGATTACGCGATAGTGAAACTCATCGCGACTACGAGGTAATGAAACAATAGGAACTCAGCCGGGGAAACGTCTAAATGTTACCTTTTACATTGTCTTCACCGTGACACATTTACCCCGGAAAAGCTATTTAGTTGAGTAATTTAATTCACTACGGAGCAAGTTGGGCAAACTATGCCCGAAGTGCACTAAGACGCTGCAACTCTGATCGTCTACTAATCTCTAGCATAATCTTAAATTGAAACGTCTTTACATAATCTGAATACCTACTAAAAATTGCATTTTTATCCGCTGGAGCTTCAAGTTCTCTCCATGATTCAAATTAGTTGGAAGTAAAGTAGATCGTTGAAGTATCTCTTTGGCTAAAAACCCTCGACGTCTCAAGTGTTTTCAATATTCCCCGTAGCTATTAAAGGTCAATACATTATCAAATTGCCGAGAATATTGAACATTTATATATTCGGAATTGATCTTTATTAGATATTTACTGAATTTTTAAATTAGAAAACGTAAAATACTTAGACTTTATATATTATTTCTATTCAAAATTCGGTAGGAAGAGGATGGTATTAGTACTAACCGCCCGTTATCGTGTTTGCGGAAAAGATAAGTAAACAAATTCTGCTTTATCTTACAAGAACATGAACAAAATTAAAATACATAATAACACAGTAAATTGGCCTAACCTTAGCGATTTTTTTAATTACGTTGCCAAATATTCGTGTTTTAGTTATTTGTAATAATTTTTTGAGAATTTTCGCGTTATTCTATCTATTTGTAGAGTGTATTTAACAAGTTTTATACACACAAATAGCTGTTTATACAGTGTCTATTAGAAGTAAAAGTATAATTTGAGCAAAGTCACGTTCGAGGTACGGTGTTATCACAAATCAGTTACTTACCATTAATCTCCTGGAAGGCGAACCTATAGACGATGACCCAAAGGTTGTATAAGAAGGCAAGGGAAACAACCATGGACCAATAGTAGCACAAGCGGCCGGCCGGATCGAACACGAACGACCAGTGCGGTCCCGAGCGTAGTCGACCACTAGCGTATGTTGAACGCCGCCGGAGACCTCCTCTGCTACCGCTAAGGACAATATTAACACTTATTAATATTACATGTAAAAACATATTCTTACAAACACTATACAGTCGAAGTAGTTTTTATATGATCAAGCGATGATGGGCTGTTGCTTCCGTCTACGTTGGCGATATACCCGTGGAATATGATGAGTTTTTTTTATAGATGATAATGGAATTGTGGAGGATGATAAGATGAATATGAGGTCAGGTCAGTTAGCCCGTCGTAACAAATTCACCAGGAATAATATGATGAGTTATATCACTAAGGTCGCATGAGACTTTACCAAGAATTAACTACGGCGGTATCCAGTGGCGGCCACATAGAGTTCGACTCAGGTGAAATAACGGCACTAGTCCCCATTACTAATACCTCCCTCTTTGGACGACCCAGTAACATACCTAGAATCTTAGGTGACGTATATAAGGTGACCATGTTCCAGAAAAACATCCATTATTATTTCTAATTCAGATGAGAAATGGTCCCTTTTACACTTACTTTTTTTTCACTTCTTAGTACGATACACTTACCTTGGAATCTAAACTACACTAAATATATATAAACTAGGCAATTAGTAACAATGATTTAATATTTATTTTTCAGACTTTCTTCACTTAATTTTCAGTCACTTTTTAACAGTTTTCTATAAAATTTACTGTACAGATGAAGCATATTCTAGATAAACTCAATAATATTCTCGTCACAAGTGTTATTGCAGGTTGTAATTAGTTTAAAATAAATCAAATTGACTTCTCATTATTTTAATGCTGCAGTAGAATTCAAAAGACATAGAGAATACAAGTATTCTCTCTCGGAAATTAAAGTAACAGATCTGGGAAAGAACTTATATTGTACAAATGACCGCAAACAAATACTGCCACTTTGTAATGAGTTCTACTGATAATTAATGTTGCCAGTATTTCTCGAGAAAATAGAATACGATTCGCTGTCTCATCCGCTCTTTAATGATAAAAATAATGTACCATTGTGTTCCTGACATAACCCAAAAAATTTCCAAATTGTTATAAAATTAATATCAAATCAACATTGGATTAGCTTACAAAATTATTCACTATAGATTACAAAAAGGTTTTATTTTTCTGAATATAATAGTATTACGTACAAATTATCTTCAAATTCTAATTTGTCACAATGAACTGGCAGTAGAACTACTAAATAAAACTGAACTGACCTGACCTGAAATGTGAAATAATATTCACATAAAAGGAGAGTGTTTAAAATATCTACATTTGAAATTTACGTACTCCGTCGTGGCTATCTCGAGTTCACAAAAAATTAACGGCTGTAGTTTTTAGTGTATTTAATTCGTACTTTTGTGAGATGTTTATGTAAATTTTACGTACATTTTTTATACGACTTCAAAATTAAGAAAGTCCTAATAATTAACTATCTATATATCATCTAATCATACAATGATTATCGACATGCATGCATCATCTCATGCTAAACCTAAATTTAATAGTTATATATTATATTTTTGAATCTTTTTCCCTATTTTACTGTTTAATATCAGATTATTAAAAAAATATTAAATACTTATTTAAAATTTTATATTTTCATTGAGAGGTAATACTCAAAATATAGTGTCACTGTTAAATCAGCGAAGATGTCTTGGCCGGGACAAGTCTCTTGAAATGAAATTTAGTAATTTATTTGCAAAATATTGGTACAGTATTATAATTAATATGATGCTACATTAAATTATATAAATGGGTAAAATAGATCGATGAATATTCACTAACATATATCATATAAACGATACATAACTTCAAATCAGATAGCCGCCATTGTTTACATTAGCTGATTGTTTGGAGTTAACTCCGATTGAGTCGGGTTAAGGATTTAGGTAGGAATCTACGTAATTCTGGCTAAGGAATAATTGAATATCACGTTTGCCACCTGAGGGCACGCCGCAAGGATATCGGGAGATGTGTATCCAATTAAACTGAATAGTACCGGTAAATAGAGAGAGACGGCTAGCCACGATTTGCGGTACCAATAATACGAGATTCATTAACGTTGTCAGCCGAAAATAGTCCGTATCTATTCCAGCAGGTTTGTTTATATAGTTCTTGTCTAGAATATTAACTACTTGCTAGATTTTGTACTTATTGTAAAGTATCATATAAGTTTGTCTAGCAACATTTTAATAGAACATTTAGGCACAGATTCATATTACTTTCATATTAATTCACTTTTTCTAAGCACTTACCATATATTATTCAAACTGTTATTACAATTTATATAATAAAAATCTGACATAATTAAATAATTAACATACTAGCAATACTGAACCAAAAATAAGAAACATTGTACATAGAAATACAAAATTTAGATGTTATTTAACACATATTAAAAAGGTACAAAAATACTTTACCTTCATCAAATTTTGTAATATGATTTTTATTTTTCTTATTACCCATCACTACCTTTTATATAAAAGATTCAGAGTAACAAACAGCACATATAAAAATAAGATATTCAATAAGATATAAAATATATATATTATATTAGGTACTTGAATTAATATATAGAAAAATTCTAAATATTTTCTCTCTTTATAATATATTATATTTATATCATGACTACTGTTTCTTACCTTTTATTTTTTATTGGAGAGTTTGGGCTATTGTCTAAGCACCTAAAGCTTAAACCTGTAGTACTGCGACCTACATAGATCTATTGTGCTCGCCCTTTTTTGAAGTACGGAACTTGCAGGTACGGAACGAGCTAGACCCGACATGGACAAGAATTGAAGGATATGTTTAGGAGAGTTGTTTTTATGCCCTCAGGATAGAGTATAAACTTTCCAAAGGAGATATTTCATTTATGAGTGGGCTATAATCACATAGATTGTATAGTAGCTTTTGCTCTTTAGCTTGGCAAAACCTGCAGAAAATTTACTGAAAGCATAATAATAAATGTAGACAAATCATAAAACTCATTACCGCTTGAACTTTGCGTTTCATTAAACAATACCGTCAACTCCTTTTAATTATATCACAAAATGCATTAACGTGTGCCCGTTGTTCAAAATTAATTCGGTAGTAAAGATAATGTATACTCAAATTAATACTACGGGTGTTCATTAATTTAATATGATAATTGAGCTCTGGTTGGTATGTTGACGTATCTAATTTGATTTTGAAATGCGTATTGGTTGCCAATCATCAAATGATATTTAAAACTAATTACTCTAATACAAAAACAAACTAAATAGTCTAATATATAAAAAATAGGCTCCGAAACTATTGCACTCATTTCACAAATTATTTCATATTTTGTTAACATAAATAAAACCATAAACATATGGGCAAAGCCGGAGTAGGCCACTTATCTACTCCTAATATTATAAATTCGAAAAAACACATTTCGTCTAGCTTTCTCTCGTTGTTGCTCTGTTCGTTTGTTAACTTTTCAAAACTAAATACCGGAACTAATTTAATGAATTTTAATTTGAAAATAGATTTTATACCGACGACGTATATAGCCTATATTTTAAAGGGGCAAGTTCTCATATACATCGAATAAGAAAAAGATAATCTAAAATAGCTATGTAATAAAAAAAGGCATACTAATAATTATTTTTTCATCCATATTGTTACGGGGGCTCGTAAATAATTTTGTAATTTCTAACATGGACTTACGTTACTAATTAATATGAATCTTAGTAATCTGAATAAAAATTATTATTATTATAACTTAAAACTTCTAAACAATAAACCGAGCGGTCACATGATTGATTTAGTATGAAAGGTTCAATTAATATTTCCATTGTACTGTGCTCCTTGAGCAAAGTTGTCACTTTCATGAATATTATCACTGTGATTGGTCTTGTAATGACAGCTATAAACATTTCTGTTTATTTTTTCCGTTATATATTTATAAAAAAACTTACAAAGAAAATAACCAATTGGTATCTATCAATACTATCATAACATTTATTGTCTAATCAGTGTTCTTGACTAAATTATTGAACGGATATTAATGAAAATTGATAGTAATATAGGTTAAATCAAGGAGGTGGTCACTGGCTTCACTATATCTAAGAAAGCAGGCGAATTAGCAGATAACAATTATGATGCTAAATAAAGACTCAACGTACATACAAGTCTGTCTATATCTATGTCCTTGGTCTTGAAACAATGCATGAAGTTAAATTTAATTAGAAACCACTGAATCGTTTAGTCGTAAAAGGGTAAAAAATAGACAGACAGACAACCAATCACAGACGCTTATTAATAAAAGAAGTATGAATATGGACATTCCGATAACAGAGTAATTAAAACGCTAATTCTAATTTATGTAGAATTGGATGTACAATATTCTCTATGCATCTTGAAAGTCGTATATTACAAAGGAAATCGCACTGGTATCCTAACACGGTAGGTTTATTCCCTTTTCTATTCATACATCATGATCTATTTGTTATTCAAGTCATGTAACAGTGACTCAAGAAACTATCTAAGATTATCCCGGATATTTACCCTCCTTCAATACAGTATCTTGACAATTGACAGGCTAAAATCACATTGACGGGCTTTATATAAATTACTAGCTGTACTCGCGAGTTTGTCCGCGAGGAATTTAACTTTATTTTTCTAAAATAAAGTAGTCTTAGTTACTCCTTATTACATCAGCTAACTACCAAAAAAAGTCCCGTCAAAATCGGTCCAGCCATTTCAGTGATTAGCCGGAAAAGACAGACAAATAAAAATTGCAAAAAATATTATTTTGGTGTATGTACCGTTTTTATATTCATATAAATGTAGTAAAAAACGATTATTTCAATATTACAAAAAGACACTCTAATTTTATTTATATGTATAGATTATAAAAGATAAATAAGTACCTATATGTATCAATATCTATAGCTGTTTTTTGTCTTTACGTATAATAATATCATAATAAGCAAAACATGTCTGTTTAACAGACTGTGTGTTCAAGTGACCTCTCGCAAAAACGGTTGGAGGATATAGAATGAAATCAATTACATTTAATAATGAACCCCTGTAACTGATAAACTTTAAAATCCTCAAAACAATAACTATAATAAACCTGCTGCAAATCAGTAAAATGTTAAAAAAGCACATAATTCATTTTTTTCTTTAACATGCTTAATATTTTTAATAAAGAGAAAAAGGCTACTAAATAGTAGTTCACTTAAACGTTAATATATTTACAACATAGAGATTACGAATGTATCGTATTTTCTACGTAAGTTCGTTCGTACATAGACCTTGTCCGTAGCGTTCAGTATCGGAATCTCTGTATTCTAAGACCAATTAATTTTTATTATATGTACATTCACATCTTCACCATCTTTAGCATTACATCGACGGGTACAAAGTAAATAGTAGCACTATTTACTTTGTAAATAGCAATATACAACAAAATAGCAATTTTTCAGGAGAGTGAATAGTAATTAAAAATGGGAACCCTTATTATTTGGTATAAACTGCTTCATTTTTAAAAATGCATCGTAAGTTTTTATTTATCATGGAAATAAAATTAGTTGTTTAGATTTACAAATATTATTATAATAATATAGTAGGCTGTTGCACATTCCATTATACCAATTGGGATAATTATATTAAACTTTTATATACACTCTTATTGAAAGATATAATCATATAAGATATTCTTATTTTTGAAGAAATTAGGTAGCTTATTCATATTAGCCAAAGCTTTTACATATTATTTATTAAACATGACATATAATATACTATATATACTTAAATATAGAATATATAAGTAAGATGATAGGAGTAAGATTAACATATAAAATTTTTTTTTTGAAGAAACGTCCTCAAAATTAATATATATAGTCTTTGGACGCCTTCCTACAGTAAGTTCGTGTCATGAATCAACATTTTGTATAAACGCTAACCTCTTATTCATCGAAACACTATTACCTATAATAAACGTATTTTACATATTGAACAATCTTCTCCTTTACCTGCTTTTAATTTGGTAGAATGGGACAAATAACATGTGTCAGCAAATAGTAAAAATCAGTGAACATTTTTCTTAAGGGAACTAAAATTTAAAATGAGAAAGTTCTAGTTTATTTGCCCGAAGTTACGATCATAGTCAGTGATACCCCAACCAACAATTACAAGTATTGCCTATTTACCACAAATTTGAATTAAAAATATCACCAAATCTTCTTAATAATTATTCTTCCCACGAGGTCCTAAAATAAGAAAGAGAACGAAAACTCAACTTAATACCATACCAACCTGATCAGCAACAATTTGCTAGGAACCATTTCCAATAAGAAAGACTGATGGTCAGCTATGGGGCATTAATGGATCTGTTAGGATATACTAGAACATTCGATTATAAGGTACCTATCTGTGCCGTTGCAGTGGGGCGGTGCGAGGTGGTTGTGTGAGTGGTGCGGCGCGGGGGTGGCGGGGGCATGCGGCGTGTGCGGCGTACTACGCCACCCGCTCAGCAGCGGCGCTTCCCCGCTAGTACCCAGCAATTTTAATCTAAACAACAATAGAAGGTCACATGAACAATTGGTTTTGGGGTACAGTCAGCTTTATGTAAGATCATAACGGGAGGGACGATCATAATCAAAGGATACACATTCATTTATAGGTTCACGGTCAGGATACTTACGTTGTAACCTACAATGCAAAATAGTCAAAAATTTGTTGAATTATGACATCTAATATAATATCTCTCTAAAGCTGACTCTACATTACACATAAAATACTATCAAATTATGCGCAAATATTATAAGTGCTAGTTGAGACAGATTGACGATTCCAGTATATATTTTTTTATTTGATTATTATTATAACATAGTGATAATTTTCACTTAAAGTACTAGCTCTGTAACAACTTATATAATGCAGAACAAGGTTCTAATATTACATAAGAAATACATATAGACAAAATTAATAGGAAATTATTCATTCAGGCGTTGCGTAAACATACTAACGATGAAAACAGGAAAATAGTTTCATATCATTGGTTATCAAATTGTTCTTAATGCCAACCAAAACGTGTCTAGTTATTATAGAGAAAACAGAGAAAATCAAACGATTATTCCTAATTATATCTCTTCCTTTACGCTCTTTCTGTCAGTTACAATGTATGCAAGCTGATTTCCAACACCCTTAGCACAGACAATATACAATTTATATCATCGTAAAAGGTTAGAATCAATATATTTTTATAGAAATCATAAAATAAAACTTTTTAGGTATATTCAGCTATGGCCAGATAACTTATGGTAACATCTGCGGGTATCATAAGCCATCGCAAAGTGTAAGCCTACCGTGGAAATCCATATGATAGCAACTTTGAATTGAACTGCGCCGATATTCGATATTCATGCGACAAATGTATGTATGCAGGAAGAGATGAGTTATTGCTATTACTTAGTCACTATCAATGAATGAAGATGTGCCGCAATTAATAGGAATAATAACAGTAGGTAATAATAATAAACCTGCACCAGTTCTTACAGACTTACTTTCTCACACTATTCTTACTCTGTGGCAAGATAGTTATCAACTGCACGATAACCTATTAATGTAAAATATATATAAAATATTAATGTAAAATATATATAGGTATGTGTAAGTTTGTATATTGTGAAAAAAATTGTGACACTCAGGGTGAAGACAACAAATCAAATATCCACATATCGTTGGATACTTAAATATAAATCCAACGAAGCAGTGGGCAATCTTATCGCCGTCTCTAAGAATAATTTGATTTGTTATCGACATTTCCATCACCGTAGTTTCAGTAAGAAATATAAATTGACACACAAAGCTTTTTCGTTCCGGCTAGATTCGAACTCACGATCTTTAGAGTCTATTAGTAGGGATAGTCAAGCACAATGCCAAGTCGCTCTCTCGTATAGAATATGTATTAGCTAAAGGTAAAATTGAAATTGACAATGCAATAAAATTTTATTGATTCTATCAGTTGAAGAAGTTATAGATTCATATGATGGCTTTATAATGCTTCATAATTCAAAAATAATATTTCAGACCATGTCACAAGAATAAGGCTGTACTTTTTCCATTCATATTATATATTTGTAAAATATACTTTTTAAACAGGTTAATTTCAAATTGTATTCTATGACTCTTGTTGTGACTATGTAAATTATTACATAGAACAGACAGAGTCGCAGCCATAACCTTGTTATTAAAATATTATCCATGGGCATATTGTTCAGTCACTTGAATCGAATCGCTACCAGAAACAATGTTACCTACATTGTGTTTCTATTTAATACAATTGATATTATGCACAGTTCGATGGGCTAGTTTTGTGCCCATTTTCTCCCATTGTACTGGTTAATGTTTACATACATATACACACATTACTCAAACGTAGAATATATACATATTCATGGCAAGCTATATACATATACATAATACACATATATATATACATAATTATATATTGGACACATGCCCAATATCTAATAACTAATACTACCACTGGGCTAGTAAGAAGAGGCATACAGTGTGTGACTTTACACATATTACTAGCTTATACAATATACTTATAGGTACAAAGTATTTTTGGCTATAATATCTACCTTTAATTAAAAACAAAACGAGACAACATAATGTCGATTAAAAATATAATTATCAAACTATATGCAGAGTTAAATTAAGACAATTCACAAAAATAGGCTGACGCATTGAAAAATTCCTTCCTTTTAAATTCGTTTAAAAATAGCCCTACAAAAAATTAGAAGGACACATACAATAGGTAGCCGGTGAATTGACAACTGCCTCATTTGTTCGTTATTTGAAAAGTAAATAATAAAGAATGGACGGCGAAAGATGAAACAGTATTCTCCAATGTTATGTAGATATGAAACTTTCAGAAACGTAAAATTCGTTTGAAGTTGAATCGACTTAGTAGCACACGAGCGGCCGCCGGTAAAAATTGGTTTTCCCTGAACGACATCGGAACCGCAGCTAAAGAGCCACCTCCGAATCAGGGATGTCAACCATATGAGAATCCTCGTACTGATACGTACATAATACTACGTGCATTCTCATCATCATAGAATTTTTTATCGAGATATATATTTTATAAAAAGTTACCAGGATTAGTTACAAGTTAAAGTGAGCGGCCAAACAATGTGGATCAGAATGAGATAAAACAGTGGAACTACAGGTAAGATGCATAACATTTTGGTCCTTCAGACTGGCAATGCCTGAGTTGTATATCACGGGCGTCATATTATGACGTGATCTCCGTAAAGATGTTAATATACCTAAATCGAAGGTTACCACTTTACATACGGTATAATGTCTGCTTGTTTACAATTCCCATATATACATAAAAGAATTACTCGAGATTTCTACCTATACCTATGGAACTTATCACATTTTTTTCTCTGCAACAATATCTGCTATTATAGTTTAGCTAATATAAACTTTTAGCTAATTGTCGCAACGTATATTACGCCAGATTTTTAATTTGTTTATACAAGGCAAAAAATTAGGTTGTCAACCCTGCTTCGAACTGTCGTACCGTGAAATGAGATATAAACCGCTCAAAAATGTGATCGGTTGTATTGCGGCAACGCATCGTGATCCGGTCGATCGCTTGCTCATACTATATACTATACAGACTTTAGTGGCATATACCATGCTACCTAAAGATACAAAAAAGTATACAAACTTATATTATATTTTATTACATTTTCCTACGTCTAAATTTAGCTGTATATTATGAGTATATGTTACCCTACGATTACATATTTTATGGATCACTTTCAAAGATCTTAGCCTATCTAGAGCTACAGTAAGTTGTGGCAAATTTGACTGGATAAGGAAAAAAACACGAGCAGTGGAAGCGAGTGTTGACGTATGTCCGGATTATATATCCCGGCAACTGCTCAGTGTGCCACATGCCCATGTGCCACTCGATGGACCCGGCATCCGCACAGTGTATCCATGGAATGTTCAGTAGTGCATCTGATATCTGGTACATCTGTCTGCGCTAACAGTATACGCAGACGAGGCACTAGTGAAGGATATCAAGATGGTGGTGAATTTTGGTCGGTTTTTTTTTATTACACAATGGTGGCAACTTAGCCCGTCGTGACGAATTTATCAAGAATTATTCACAGTACAAACTAATATGATATACTCGTATTATAAAAAATAGAACCACTAGTCACTAATAATACCAATCCACTCCCAACTATTATATATTTACTCAAACTAAACAAATTGATGATTGTATTATTTGAAAGAATATTTGTCCTATGTAAGCTCAATATTTTTTGTAAAAATTGAAATCTTTCTATTTTTAATGCATTAAAAGAAAAGCTACATTACAAACATTAAGATTTTATATGCTTCATTTTAAACGAAAATTCCAAAATGTTAGGAAAACTAATAGAAATGTTATAAATATTTACAAGCTTTTAAAATTATCGTTGAGAAATATGCAAAATAGTTTGAATTTTAATAGGTATTATGACGTTGCAATCTTGACTTGAAGCTCTTAAGAGTATTTTAGCAAACGAGTGAATATAAAAGATGAGGTATAGAAGGACCTTGTACACGACATCAACTACCATCTTCATATCGACTTTCATCGTTATTAAGTTGGAATCAATAGATATATATCTAAAACTATGTATTTGAAATAGCAAATGAACATCATTAGTTGTTTCCGAAATACACGTGGCTGATAGACGCACGAATAAAATCGCATAACAAGGGTTCATTTTACCTTTTATGGTTCGAAACCCAAAAAACTACGCTTCATTTCTTCCCAAACTTATTTACCTACAATCAAATCGTTGTGAACAATATTATTACCCAATTAAGGCAAAGATACCTTCTTAACGCTCAACTAATTCTACTCCCCGAAAGCAACAATTAATTCGCCTCTTTACGACCACTGTCAGGTCAGACAAGGTTTGTATATTTCGAGACACCCGAGTGCTATACGGGCTTAACATCCCCCGAGAGAAACGTATATCTCACGAGGTTTAGTGGCATTCAGAGGAGAGACTAAAGCGCTGACAGACACGGCCAAATACTTCCTTTTTTCTTTAGCGCTATTTTGACGCGCAGTAAAAGGGAATAAATATGTAAATTGCCAAAAAGAAAGTATACGGCGACGTAATAAGCTCAAATTCGAGTGAACGCAGGCTCAATTGTGCCACTTTGATACCCTCACTTGAAGATTTAATGAAATTTTGCTACCATATTATTTATCAAAAAAATATACAATATATTTATTACAAAAATAATAATTAGTTTGTATTTTAACAAATTTATCACGGGTTCACAGAATTCATTTCAATTTATAAAAAACGATAGATACAAGAAATAACAAGGAATTTAGTAAAAAAATTGGTATACATAAAAATATATAATAAGGCTAAAAATATAACATATCGTTTAAAAATTATTCGAATAAAAACTAAACAAGATACAGAAACAATATACCTATTTGGATAAATAACAGTTATTGAATAACTGAATAATACCCATGACAAACATACTATCGGCCGTAAAATAAAATAAATACTCTCACTATTGCATTCCGAGATGCAATTGTCAGAGGCTTCAATCGATTGCTACCGGCGCCATTCAATGGAACTATATCACTATATAATGTGAGGCGATACAGCAGTGAGGTTTCTTGTTATTGTGTTTAAAAGCTTTGTCTCACACATGTCAACAATGTATGAGTGATACCTATAGTTCCAATAGTTATCACACACACCACCAGAGTTTGTTATTGAGTCTAGGTGATATCTTACAATCAAGTATACCGGTTTTTTTATAACATCAATCATCATCAAGTGATCAATGATGATTGGCGCCCCACACACTGCAAAAAAGGAAGAATCCTCGGTGTATTTTTTAAAGCAGTAAGTATATCGAATTTCATGGAACAAAGGAAAATTATGTCTTCTGCGTACAGATGCGGATGTAATTATTAGATCTATTAATTGGTAACAGACTGTTAGCATTAATTCTTATATTAAAAATACATATTATTATGTAATTATTAATTTTCATAAACTGCATTTCATATCAAAATCACTGATATCATCTAATCATGTGTTCAGTCAGGTTTATCGAGTCGACACTCGTGATTAAAGCGGCACTCAAAGTGAGGGTCCTCTCCATCTTGAGAAAACAACAGACAACCCCCTTGAACGTCTTTGCCATACCTTAATGGAGATTTTGCACGTGTTACCACACCGCTAAACGAAAAATGTACCTACGTATTGTTTTAATATTTTAACATCTAATGGCGATTTTATATAATTCTCTGCTCTGATAATTTAAAATCCCATTTATTACTTTTTATTTTTTATACTATATATATATATGCATATAGAACTGAATTTAAATAAATAAAATTAAACGAATTAAAATTTCATAATTATAAAAAGAGATGTTTTTTTAATCATAATTGATTCAAAAGACTACTGTGTTAACGTGTTCATAAAATATTTTAAATTGATAGTCCTATGACGCCAATGAATTGTTAGAAAAATGGAACGGTAACCCATAGATGTTATAAGTATTATGAGGTCGATATATCTCTTTTATCGTTTGTAGCGGCTTGACAGATTCGAGTTTGGTGGATATCAAGTAATATCGGTTCCACGAAGCGTCCCACGCCCTCGGCGAAAGTAGTAGTATGTCATCGTTCGTACCGTGAACGGAACCGTGTACCTAAAAATATTGCTCGAACATACACTGCAAATACGGATAACTTTATAACTCAATCACATAAATCAATACGCGTCGCTGACGATACGTATTCGATACATTTTCAAACCAACTTCAAAAAATATCAAAAATGTTGCCCGGAATTCGACTCTATTTTTTTTAATTTACAAACAGCAACAAACAATTGTTTATTCAGCCGAATTATTCCCCAATACAACAATGGCGTATTGTTATAAAAACAATGTCATAAGAGTATTATATGAATAAATATTTCGTATTGGAATTACAGATAAAAGTGACGGACTACCTGTGCAAAAATCCTCCAACGAATGAGAGCCCCTCGGTAATATGGAACCACTTTGAATCCTTCTGCTTAGCTATAGTTAAGCGTGAATTAGGAATAAGCAAGGGAGCTCTGCATAATGCAAAAGATACCAAATGGTGGAACACCTACACTAAAGAGAGGGTTGCTGATAAGAAAAGATTGTTTAAAATCTGGCAGAAAACTGGCTCCAATGAAGACAAAGAAAATTACAAGCGAGCCAAAAAAGTTGCAAGAAGAACAGTGGCAATTGAGAGAGAGAAAGCCGACTCCCACTTTTATCAGCAGCTAGAATTATCTTCTGGCAACGATGTTTATAGAATAGCTAAACGTAGATATAATGATAGCAAAGACTTCATAACCACAAAATTTATTAAAAATAAAGAAGGCACTTTATTAACGAACGACAAGGATATTTGTGAAAGATGGTATGAGTACTATCAAAACTTATTAAACGAGGAATTTCCTAGGGAACACGTGCTGGAACTTCCGGCAACCAAAGGACCGATTAATGAGATTACTCCGGCGCAAGTAAAAAGAGCAATCTCTAAAATGAAAAACCACAAAGCAACGGGTCCAGATGATATACCCGTCGAGCTTTGGAAATCTCTAAAGGCCGATGGAGAAGATTGGCTTTCGAAGCTTTTTAACAGGATCTTGGTCACTGAGGAGATGCCTGATGCTTGGAGAAGAAGTATGTTGGTCCCGTTCTATAAAAACAAGGGAGATGTTAGAGAGTGCGGGAACTTCCGTGGTATTAATAACTCACATCACACACCCTGAAGATCTGGGAGCGAGTTATAAGCGAGTGCCTTCGAAGTTCAGTAAATTTATCTGAAAACCAATTTGGGTTTACTACTGGGAAGGGAACTACTGAACCAATACACGCTATAAGGCTATTAATTGAAAAAGCTCGTGAAAACAAACAAGCCATGTGGATGACTTTCATAGATCTCGAAAAAGCTTTTGACCGCGTACCGAGAACTTTAATATGGCAGGCCTTAAGGTCTCAGAACATTCCTGAACAGTATATAAAGCTCATTACAGATATGTATTGTAACGTACAAACCAGTGTCAGAAGTCCAGCGGGTGTATCTAAGAGTTTTAATGTTGAAGTGGAGGTGCATCAGGGCAGTGCTCTTAGCCTCTTACTATTTAATATGGTAATGAACTACCTCACAGAGAACATTCTGAAACCAGTACCGTATAACCTCTTATATGCAGATGATGTGGTTTTGATATCGGAAACCAAACTGGAAACACAGGGCAGTTTAGATATGTGGAGAAAAGCTCTAGAGTCTGGTGGATTGCGCATTAGTAGAACTAAGACGGAGTACATAGTGTTGAACTTCGGCCCCGACAAATCTGGTACAATAAACACTGAACTGAAGCTGGACGGAGAAATCCTACCAAGAGTAAGCAAGTTCAAATACCTGGGTTCTGTTATTGCTGAGGATGGCACTATTACAGCCGACATTACTCATAGAACCACGTCTGGGTGGAGTAAATGGCGCGAACTCACGGGGGTGTTGTGCGACCCAAAAATGCCAATAAAAACAAAAGGCAAGGTTTATAAAACAGCAGTTAGACCAGTTCTACTATACGGTAGTGAAACGTGGGCTACTAAGCAAGTACATGAGCAAAAGCTACACACTACTGAAATGCGTATGCTTCGTTGGGCGGGTGGAGTTACGCTTACAGATAAAGTCCGAAACGAGCATGTAAGGGGCAGCTTCGGAGTGGTACCTATTACTGAAAAACTTAAAGAATGTAGACTTAGGTGGTATGGACATATTCTGCGTAAACCTGAAAACCACATGGTGAGAAAGTGCCTTTCCATGGCTACAACAAAAAGAGGACGAGGCAGGCCACCAACTACCTGGTTGACAAATGTCCATAGGGACATGAAGGAGTTGGGCCTATCAAATGACGATGCTTACCAGCGAAATGTATGGCGCCCCAGGATTAGAAAAGCCGACCCCGAGTAACGGGAAGAGGCGAGGATGAAGAAGAAGAGGAATTACAGATAAAAAGCTACTTTTATAATAAGGTTGGGAAATATGAATAATTTTAGCATCAATGTAATAAAAGCAGATTACCATCACACTTATTTTTCTCATTAGGATAACTGAAAGGCCAACATTTGTAGTAACTTACTATGATATAGTAAGTGCCGAAACTCAGTTATGTAGAAACAAGTCATTTTTTCTACGTAACTGAGTTCAAGGTTGTTTGTGAATGTCGCTAGAATTTAATCAGAATAAGAAATAGAAATAGGAAAACGTACATTGATTTGATGACGCGGACAAAGATAAATTGTATTCAGTTATATTATCATATCAATCCATCAAACTGCTATATCTAATATTATATTCTACCGCTGAAAATATTTATTTTGATATATTGGAAAGTAAAAATATGAAAGTAAACTAAACGACATAGGCGGGATGATTCGGCAAATCGAATTTACAATAATTTGACAGGTGATGGAATTGAGATTAAGAAAATTTATGTAGATATATGAAACCTTTTAAGTTAGCGGTACTAAAATTGATGCCCTATTTATAAGACAACTTTCTGAAGTAACACGTAGCTTCTTTTTTTAATTTAAATATTTTTTAAGACATTTATACAAAGAACGCAATCAATTTCAGGAACAGTGCTCTAGCGGTTTAGCTTACCACCTTACTTCCGTTAGTTACAGGTTCAAACATTTGTATTTAGTATAACTGGTTGTATTGATCTAAGTGTCTTCTGTGTAATATATTATGTAAATATATATATAAGTTATTTAGTACCCATGTATACAACAAAAGTATCTAAGTAAAATAGCAGTAGGAAGACCAGTTAACGGTAAGCGATAAGGATAAAAATAAAATATAATTTAATATGAATAAATAGTGAGTTACCTAGCTTTGTGTGCCCGTCGTGAACGCGAGGACAGATCTAGCTCGCTAGCGGCGGTGCAGGTACCCGCCTGGAGCGAGCCACGGGACCCACCCAGCCGCCGTGAGCCCAGCCGGCATGTCATCATTTCTGTAAACAATCGTATTATCATTAAAAATATAATCAACATCATATATACTTCAATAATCAAGAAACCGAGTATTATATTTCTTGGAACTTTTACTGTCTAATCCTTTAGATTAATACGTAAACTAAATAAGGTAATGGATGGTATTTATAGGGGTGTAGATTTAGTGAGTATGGTTACAATAATTTAAATGATGTAACTTATAATCGCTATCATAATTATAATATAATAAACATATATGGCGGTTTAATGACAAAAACTTTCGAAAATTGAGGTCTCAAGATGAAATCATTTTCAGACACATTCTTTGTATTTTATCTTAATTAACAAATAAATAAATATAGTGTTACTTAGAATAGAGTAGTGCAAAAACATAATTTATTATACTTATTAGTAAATACATCGATTTCGTGGAATTATTCGTAATAGATAGATTCTTAATTGCATTATATATCTATAGAGAAACTATTATGGTGTCTGAGATACAGGCTAGGCGTGGTTTAGACACTACTGCACTGGACTTGATATTAAATAGTTTTAAGAACTATTGTATATATATGAATTAATGTAGATATATAACCTTAGTTAAGTCCTTTTTGTATTTGTTTTTTTTGCACAATAAAGTTATTATTATTTCAACTATATATTTCATCCCTCGTAGTTATAGTCAAATAATGCAAAAAAAATACATACGCAAATTTATATATACCTAGGTATATTATATAAATTTTCTATCTCACCTATTTCTACCAACACGCATATACTTTTGCAAGCAGTTCTCTATATCAAAGAGCGAAATAAAGCAGTAAAAATGCAGAGTACGGAGGCATGACACGTTAGTTCTCAGGAATGGCAAAATATAAAAGATAGACAGGGGCGGGTATCACAAACGCTTTTTATGGTGTTCGTGCTGATAGTCATATACCTTTTCATCAGACAGACCGTCAAAGGTCCTGAATATATTAAAAAGTACCTACAATACAACTACTACGGCACGACTAGTATATTAAACTACTTAATATAGTTATGCTTACTTACTTAGTATACTAAACTTTAGATTAATTGGAAATCTCTTTTACCATTATGATAACAAAATAACTTTTGCCAACTAACAGTAAATCGGAATTCCTACAATTATTATTTTTTAAATAAATTACTCAAACATTATGCCAGACATTTATAGAGTGGTATTTGAGAAGATTTATAAATACAGGGGATTGAAAACGTTCAATAGTGCCAGTATTATTTCAGATTTTAACTAAAGAGCCCTATAAGCCCGACTCTGTCTGAGCTTTTGTCGGTTTTATAAAATGAAAGCAGCGACAGTTCAGTCGGAGAACGCTTAACTACAGACAGTAAACCCCAGTATTGTTAAAATTGTTTTTTCATTATTGAAAAATATTAACAATTCACACATCACAAGTCACATATGTGTGACATCGGCGTTAATATTTTGTCAACAATGAAAATGATCAGATAGTACATCGGTCGCGTGTGGTATAAACTTTTAATAATTATAATGAGTGTTATTAGATAAGACAACTAATACTATTAAATTATATTATATTATATGACTATGTACCACTATGTACTTTCAAATTCTGTGATTTTTTTATTACCATTAGCTTATTTTCTAGGCCCCAATTATATAAAATAAAAAGACTGCGGTTTCTTGGTCTCAATCCTTGTGCACCAAATCGACTCTGTATGCTCTGTAATCTGTTACATTTTTAACAAAAATCATTCAACATTACACAGAGAAGTTGTGAGATTAATAATAAATTATACAATACTATAATAATGGATCAAGAGTGTAGGATAGATTTTTCTTTTGATAGCTGCTCAAAGGGCCAATCACTATACAAAAGAGAAACAATAAAGACAATAAAAGCGAACCATCTTGTGAACCGAACAAAATGAATAAAGGCACAAATCGAATGAGCCCATTGTTACGACGCTATTCTTTTTATAAACCGCAGTCTACAATTTTGTTCATTTTAGCACCCACCCGCGGGAAGTTCCGGTCCAAATTACGATTCGAAAAGAAACTCCGCGGTGCTCCGTTGAGAAGTTACCTAATGAACTAAAAATAAAATAAAAAGCACCTCGACGCGACAAGAGATCTCATCTCGTATCCCACGGGTGAAGTACAAAGGTAGTGACATTAATTGAATAAATCCAATTCCGTACTGTATCATATAAAACGATATTTGTGGTGTGACGTCACATAAGCCGGTTGTAGTATGTAAATAGGAATGTACGTGGATCGTTTCACTCGCAGGCAGTGGTTTTGGTAAATTTTAATGACATGTTGCGACGCAGTGCGGAGAGCTGGGACTTTGCAACTATATTGTCTGTTTATCATATGTTACGACTATTTTGCATAAATAGCCATCTACCTAATATAGGTATGCTTTTATAACAGTTTAAGAAATTGCAAAACCATAATTATTTATAGTGTTGTAAGCAAAAATCAAATCGAATCTTTAATAATGTAATCATTCGGGTCATAAAATGAATAATTTTATGATAAATGAGATATTTATCTCTCACGACGTTTGACATTGCTAGTGCAATGTTTCGAGCTGACTGAAGTACAGCTATGTCAACTTCGGTAGGTACTAGCACTTTGTTCAACTACCGTCTCACAGAACTCACAATATACATCCTTACATATATTGATTGAATTTTGTTTAAACTTATTTATGACTGGATGCCACCAGATTATTATCTGCAGATAGGTTGAAATCATATTCCCGGTAAAAATTGGGTGTATTTTTTTATTATTGCCTCTTATAGCAACGTGGGTAATAGTGACATAATGTGCTCTTTGACCATTTCGGAAACGACGAGGAAGACCATATCTTGTTTACCATAAAATTATTCATATCGAGACGAAATAATTTATTAATAATGTTTACTAAACGTAAAAAGGTAAAAATAAGTATTACAAAGCTTTATTATTTTAAGCCCTCTGTTATGTGTTTGGCCTTATGACACGGGTCTGTAATTAAAAATGGAATAAATTACACTTTTTAAATTTGAATACTTTGAATGTTGACTGTGCTCGAATAAAATAAGTTTTTTTTTATTTTCAGGAATGGACGAATTTTCCTTTAAGTAAAAACAATACATTACATACAGTTTTCACATTTGGAACAAATAAACAGAAGACGTAAAAATGCGAACTTCAGTTCTGTACTGCGGTAAACTGCCGAGAAAATTTTAAATGTTATTAGACAGTAACATTGTATTGTCTAATAACATTTTAAATTACATACTTAGATATATTTTCTACTTCATTCGTAAAAGAATCACCATAGTCAGTTTTGTAATTGACGAGGATACCTGTATTGTACATTCAAAAATGTGCTGCCATTTTTAAATTCTAACATTAAGATTGATGGAAAAATAATAAACTGCACATTTTTCTCGATGTATAAATATTAAATAGTTACTCCTCCATCCTAATAGCTACTTCCTAAATGAATTAGGAAGTAGCTATTAGGATAATATAGATAACCAATAGACTTCATTGAGTCTCAACATTTTAATCTATCAGCGCACTACCATCGCTTTCTTTCCACTTTGCATAATAGAACTATTAAAAGATAATAATATTCAACATAGTCAAAGTTCTGAAGTTATTCACTTATATAGTTGGTAACAGAGAGCGGTGTCAGGCCGCATGCGAAAGTTTCAGACCAAAATGTGCTTGTTTTTTGTCTAAAATACTCTCCGCGACAGCGTACAGTCTACTGAACAGAAATGTGAACTTCATAAGTTCAACTATGAAAATTCACGATGCACATGCAATATTCCTTCATTGAATTTCTTCGGTATATTGACTTTGTAGTTCAATTAAATACGAAATAATAATTTCTTACATATCTATTATCAATTAAATGTTTTATTTCGTATAAATTTAATCACTATGTTGAATAGAGTATACTGTTTAATTGTTATTAAAATAATACTTTATTTGTGACAAAATAAGTACCTATGAGGTCATTAATACTCTTTGAATAACTAATGCAAATATATGTATATAGTAAGAACATAATAAACAATATTATTGTCTTAAACTATCATTTAATAGCAAAATCGTATTTTAAGTATCTAATTTAAATTTCCTACGCGTGCAGGTGTTATGGCGTCTGCTTGTGACGTCACTATTACAGTCTAGGTATATCGAGCGAATAACAGGATGTAATAATGTACTCAACGGTTGACATTATTTGTCAGATTACGGCAGAATAATAGAGAAAAGTGATAGCTATGACGCAATACGTGTTCACATACATCACTTTAGTTGAGTTTTGATTTAACAAAAAAAATTAATAAATCTATAATAGCTCTTTATTTCTTACTTGTTGCTTCTGATCATATGTCTATTTATACATACTATATACAAAAGTTATGGACTTTACTCAATAACTCCAGAAGGCTATTTCATAAGAAATTATTAAAAAAAAATTAAGGTTACCTAGAGTGTTGTGTCTTACGCTTTAGTAAAAGGTATGAATTAAATTATAGTATAGGTACGACATCATACTACTCCAGAATGGCAACGCATGAAATGTATCCAGAGAGTCACATAATTGTATGTCATCAGCTTATTTGCCATTCCATTTATATAACAAATATGTATATACTAGCAGAACCTGCAAGTTCACTCGTATGAAATTTGTAGCCTATATGTTATTCTGATGCATAAGCCATATTACTGTAAAGTTTCATCAAAATCCGTTCAGTAGTTTTTGCGTGAAAGAGAAACGAACAACCATACTTGCAAACTTTCGCGTTTATAATATATATATAGTATTATTAAGATGATGAAGATTTTCAAATAAAACTGAAAAAATACGAAAATTTGTGTTGAACTGTGCTTTGATGCGTTTCAATAACCAGGGTACGGTCTTGTTTTGTACCGCGAGATAATGTCGAGTACGAGCCCTATGATTACATGATATTCTCACGCCTCAACAATAATCCGTCTGTT